TGTCGTTCGTTCCAAGGAAAGGTAAGTTTATCTTGATTTATAACTTGTGCTAGTTGAAAAATCTGATTTTGACATTTTAGTCGTTCAACTAAGAGGAGTAAGTGTGCTATTCATTTTACATGTAGTGTCACAGACAGAGAGTCAGCAGACTGTCAGAATGTCAGTCAGTCAGAGAGTCAGAGAGTCAGTCAGTCAGTCAGTCAGGGAGTCTGTTGGTCAGTCAGCTAGTCAGTCATTGGGTTAGCCAGTCAGTTATTCCTTCAGTAATTGAGCTTAATGAGTTGTTATATTGTTTTTGTTATTATTTTGTTGTCAGTTATTATCATGTTATTTGATAAAAAACAGGTGATTCCTTGGCTCACATTTTTGGTCAGACAAACTATGGAGACAATGTTGAGGATGAATGGTTTATTGTATTCCTTCTTGTTCAACTTACATCAAAATATCCAGATGTCGTTGTAAGGTAAATACTATTGGGAAGCATGGGTAGACACTGATTGCATGCACACTTTAGACATGAAACTCTGACTCACAAGGCTGAGCAATTATTCCCTCCGATTTCAACTTAAAATAGATGTCATTTGCAATTTTGCTCTTTGCCTTTGAGCTCTTGAATGTGTGATTGATTGAAAATTACTTACTCTAGTTGTATTTTATTAGTGTTCAAGATGATGATGGAGATTTTCTATTGATGGAAGCTGCACATGAGATCCCTAAATGGTTGAATCCAGAAACTAGTAAAAACAGGGTAGGTAGAAGTAAACCTCCTCTCCACTTTCTTTTTTTGTGTGAGGCTGGGATCCCTGTGGCAAACACCTGCCACAGATAGCTCACTGGAGGAATAATTAAGAAGATTCCGTGTGTGCCTCTATAAAAGAATAAAAAATCTTTTATTAACATCTTTTGTTATGTAAGACTAAGAAAAAGTTTTAAAACCTGACAATCAATTTCCCATTTAAGGTATTCATTCATGATGGCAAGCTGCACATTATCCCCCTACCCTCCACTCCCAGGGAAATCACCATGTTTCCCACAGGGATCCCATCACTGTCTAAAGCACTGGAGCTGATACATGGGCCATTCAACACAATAGCAGGCCCCAGTGTGCAGCAAGCTGTTCTGAGGAGAATGGAAGGGTAAGTGAATCCAAAGGAAAAAACATGAATTTCATTGAAAGCTAAAATATCGTCTAGACTGTTCTAAGTCAGGGCATGTCTAACCCACAGATTATACTCTGAAACAACCTCAGGGCTGATATAAGTTGGGACATGGCTAACTTTTTTCCTTTTATGACTTTACTTTAGATATCCTGATAAAGCCAAGCACTTTTATCACTATGTGAACTGTTTTATCCCTCCTGCCATTAAATATGTATTGGATAAGAAGCCATCTCTTATTAGTGCTGCAGTGAAGGCCTTCTACCATAGGGATCCCATAGATATGAAGGTAATTTAGAGGTGATTATGTAGTCTATTATGCAGCTGCTATTAGTGTCCTCATGCAATTCTCACTCCCCCAACATGTGTGACAACACTAATAGTGACTGCTTAGCAATGATTATGATGATAATAATGCTGACAATGTTAATGTCTACACTGATAATGGCAAGAAAGATATTGATCTTGATGGTGATGATGATGATGGTATGATGATGATTACCATGACAGAAGAAAATGATGGCCATGACAGAAGGGAATGATGTTGATGATGACTATGATGATGATGGTATGATGATGATTACCATGACAGAAGAAAATGATATGATGATGACTATGATGATGATGGTATGATAATGGTTACTATGACAGAAGAAAATGATATGATGATGACTATGATGATGATGGTATGATGATGATGATGCTACTACTGTTAATGTTGCTGTAGTTGCCATTTACAATGATGATAATCCTATGATGATAATACTAGGACTAAAGACTGATTGTGACACCAATGATAATGAACAATTGAGTAATATTAATTTTATGTATGTAATAAAAAGGTCTTGTGATATTCATTATTCAGTATCTTTATCTTGTCTAGGCTGCAAGTGAAGCAAAACATTTCTCTCCAAAACAAAGAATAATGACAAGGGTAAGATAAACTAGAAATCATTTTTTAAATATATTTTCCAAGTTCTGTAAAATTCATTTGCAAAATTCAGTGAAGCCCCCACCCCTATATTTTTGGGAGTATCTGCCCCTGCAAGTGTCGTAAGCTATTGGTAAACAATTTTGGGAATTGAGGGTGGCATAACAGTAGTACGCTCACCTGTAACCCTTTGGGTTCGTTTTCTGGACTTGGCATCTCATGTGAGTAGAGTTTGTTAGGACTCTCTCTTGATTCAAGGGTTTGTCTCCTGGTTCTCTGATTTTCCTCTCTCCCCAAAACCTAGCATGCTAAATCCCAATATTATCTGTGAGTTAGCCATGCCCTGACTTAGATCAGCCTAGAGTTTGTTTCAGAGTTCGATCTGTGATTTAGCCATGCCCTGGACTTAGATCTCGCCAAAGGTTGTTTCAGGGTTTGATCTGTGAGTTAGCCGTGCCCTGACTTAGATCAGCCCAGAGGTTGTTTCAGGGTTATATCTGTGAGTTAGCTGTACCCTGACGTAGATCAGCCCAGAGGTTGTTTCAGGGTATTGATAAAATTTGTAGGTTTGAGATATCTTGTCTTTTTTAAACATCAGGTCTGCTTCACCAGATGTCTATATGCACAAATGATGCAGCAGAACTTTCAGCCCAATAAGAAGTCACTATGGCAGTTACCTTCATCAACAGATCCTCTGTACAAAGCTCATCAGCTTGGAATGAAAATTGTGAGTGAAAATAATTACATACCCCTTCCCCCCCTCTCCACCCCATGCAGAGTGATTGGAATTTCCACAGGGTGGGGAGGGTCTGAATAGGGTATATTGTGTAGTTCCAGAAGATATCCATACCTCCCCCATGGAGGGGGATGTGAATTTCCAAGGGGTGGGGAGGGTCTGAAGAGGGTATATTGTGTAGTTCCAGAAAATATCCATACCTTCCCCATGGAGGGGGATGTGAATTTCCAAGGGGTGGGGAGGGTCTGAGGAGAAGATATTGTGTAGTTTCTGAAAATGCCCATACCTCCCTACATGAAGGGGATTGAAATTTCCAAAGGCAAACAACTCCCACAGATATTTACAAAGTTGTTTTTATTTTAGACATGTGGGTTTGAAATTCTTTGCTCCAAGAGCAAAGTCAACATTGAAAAACAGGTGAGAAATGAAGGACTATTTCATAGAAATCATGGCTGCACACTCGCTCTGTAACTAATGCTTGATGTAAAACTACTTTTTAGTCGGTAAACAAGCCATCTGGTGCTGAGTGGGAAAGATATCTTCAATGTCTGAAGAAGCAAGGATACTTTAAAGTAAGTCTTGAAGCTTGGAAACCACTAGAAGTCAATCACTCAGTCGGCCAGGTCTTTTGTCAGTCAGTCCATCAATCTGTATATCTGTCAGTCAGTCAGTTTATTCAGTTGGCAGTCGGTCAGTTGGTCAGTCGGTCAGTTGGTCAGTCAGTCAGTTGGTCAGTCGGTCACATGGCAGTGAGTCGGACAGTCAATCAGTCAGTCAGTCAAGGGTCAGTCAGTCAGGTGGACAGTCAGTTGATAGGTCTGTCAGTCAGTCATGCTAAAATGATTAAAAAATACAGTAAATAATAATATTCTACAATTTTTTTTAAAATATAATTTTAGGACGAAATAGAGGGATCAAAGTTGTACATGAAACTGCTATCTGATGCTGAGCAGCATTTTCTTGAGTCATTTCATCCTGATGATGTGGTAACAGATGATCCGGGAAGCACTGTTCTTTCTCTGTTACAAAATATTGAAATAAATGTTGACAAGATGAGAGAAGAGGAAAAAGCATTACCACGAGAAGATGGTAAGATGATATACGTGAAGTATAGGAAACAGGGTATAGGATGAATCATGGTAGAATAGCTGTAGTGCACGCACTTATCTCAAACCTCTGGTTTGATTCCTGGACTCTACATCACATGGAGTAGAGTTTGTTAGGTCTCTCCCTTGATTCGAGGTTTTTTCTCCTGGCTCTACAGTTTTCCTCCCTTTGAAAAACTTAACAAGCTAAATTCAAATTTTATCTGTGAGTTATCTGTGCCCTGACTTGGATCAGCCCAGAGGTTGTTTCAGGGTTATATCTGTGAGTTAGCCATGCCCTGACTTAGATCAGCCCAGAGGTTGTTTCAGGGTTCTATCTGTGAGTTATCCGTGCCCTGACTTAGATCAGCCAAGAGGTTGTTTCAGGGTCATATCTGTGACTTAACCAGAGATAAGATTAAAAGTAAAGTAAAAGGAGGGCAAACAAGAGAGGGAAGTTTGGATATATTGGTTGAATCGCTTTGGATAAATCTTTTTCTTACCAGATGATAGTTGGCTTAATATAAGTCCAGAAGAATTAGATGAAATGTTAAGCAAGTATCGTATGACTGCTAGTACAGAACAAGCCCCTGTTGCAAATGGACAAAAGGTAACTGTCTTTGAATGGAGATATTGTGTGAACGAGCATGGGCGTAGCGAGGGCAAGGGGGGCAATGTAAATTTTTCCGCCAATAGACCCCTCGCATGTGAGTCAAAGCAGCTCAATTTGGAGGACAAAACAAAATAATTTAAATTTCATGAGAATTTGAAACCTATTGTTTTGTCCTCCAAATTGAGCTGCATTCCGTTGCAAGGGCGTAGTGCATACACGCGCGTATGCGTTTCATCTTTAGAGTTTCCCGCCATATTTCCTCCCTCATTACTCCATTTAAGGAGAGGTTTCACTGTGCAAGAAGGGAAGTAAGAAGGGAAAGGAAGAATGGATGGGAAAATTAGCAAATGGAAAGGAAGAGAGGGAGAAGAGGGCCGGGAGAGAAGGAGAGGTGTTGAGAAAAAGATAACAGGAGATGAAAATGTCAAGAAACGGGAAAATAGGAAGGGGAGAAGAAGGAATAGGAGAGAAGAAAAATACGAGGAAGAAGAGAATGAAGAAGGAGAAAAGAAAATTAAAAGAAAAAGGATTATTTACCATCCAATTTTTGATTAAAATTGGGATAATTTGGTATAATAGTATGTTTTTCTTTCTATCTTTAAGGAGGAATTCAACCTGGGCAAAATAACAGAATCGATGAAATCTTTTGTAGATACGGTGTCAAGCTATGAAGGAGCAGAATTTCCCGGGTGAGTTGTTCAAATTTCTCCAAGCTACTTTACTAAAATAGACCTTTGTCAAATTAACTCGCGTGACCGCAAAACAATGGCTTCAAGTCGAGGTTGGACTTGATGTGTTCGTACATATACTGTATTTTATCAAGTTTAACATGGAACCATTGTTTCTTGCTCACTCAAAAGAATTCACAGTGAAAGGTCAATTGATTTTACCATGAATTTGAAGACCATTTTTCTTTTGTTACATTCAATCCAGCTCATGCGTTCCTATAATGGTTCAAAGATTCAATTCATCATTGGAAGTTTGATTTCCTTCCTGCTTTGAAGCTTGCATTAATGAAACGAACGTTGACAATTTCTTTAACTCTATGGTTTTTGTTTTTCATGTAGAGAGGACGAGAATGAAGAAATACATTTTGATGCAGAATCGTTTATGGACACCATGAAACAGCTTTTAGGTTTGGGTTGCATTTTAAACTTTAATTTCGTATAACTCTGAAATACTTACCTCCACACCTTACCATAACCGTGACGATGTCGTTCCCCAGCATCTGATTGGGTTGCTCTCTCTTTATTGCAGAAGGGAAAACAGAAGAAAGGGTGGAAAGTAGTGATGAGGAAGATTATCTAAGTGACAGCAGCGTTGAAGAAAATGATGAAGACGTTCCAGAGGAAAGCGAGGAGTTCTTGAGGTACATGGAAGAGATGGACAGACAGTTAGGAAGCACCATGATTGGGAAGAGTTTTGAGAAGGTAAGACTGCTTATTTGTCGTAAATTTCAATACTCACAATACAAAATCAAATCGCAAAATTAACCGATTTCTCGTTTCCTAGCGGCCACTCTATTGCGTTTCAGGACTAGGACCGCGATTTAGGTCACTGGGAATGGAAAATAGGGTTACCAATATGGGATTCCCCCAAGGTTCATCACTAGGACCGGGATTTGGGTCCCTGTGAATGGGAAATAGAATCACCAACATATTATTCCTGTGCCCCAAGGTTCATCACTGGGACCATTTTAAATTCCAGAAAGAGAAACAACCCGTCAAAGTATCAAGTAAAAAGACTCAGCAAGAAGAAGCGAATCCTACGATAAAGATCCCAACAAACCAAGAAAAATCGTCCTCAGATATGACGTCACAAATGACGTCAGAAGAGACTGTGACGTCAGAGGAAGACCAAATTCCCGTGGACGTAGACTTGAATTTAGTTAAAAACCTGTTGGAGTCGTTCAGTAGTCAGGAGGGACTGGCTGGACCTGCCTCCAATATTCTTAATGCTATGGGAGTGATATTGCCGGTAGATGAAGAGAGATGACGGCTGTCTTTTTCTATAACATCTTTTGTGAAGTTATATATCAATGCTTGAGAGATGGAGAGGCTGCATAAATGTGATGGGAGCCGAGGAAACGGAATGTGGGATGAGAAAAGCAGCGATAGAAGGAAGACGCGGGCACAAAGGTAGGGAGAAGCAAACAACGAAAAAATGGAAAACGAAGGAAGAGTAACGAAAAAAGATAAAGGGAATGGAATGAAAAAGGTGCGAAGAAAAGCGAGAAAATGGGAAAGGAGTAGAGGAAGGAAAATGAAATGAAAAGAGAAAAACTGAATATGAAAGACAAAAGGCAAACTGAGAGGTTTGATATTTTTGATAGAGAGAAAGAGACAGAGAGATAGAGCGAGAGAGAGCTGAAATCCAAAATTAAGAAACGAGGGAAAGGCGAAAGAAAATTCAAAACAAAACAAAAAATAAACTAATATTTAAACTACAAAGGCAGGAAAAAGAACAATGGAAGGTAATACTTAAAATAAACTGTAATCGTTTTCTCAATTAAAACTAAATTAAATACAAAGCAATCTTCCAATCACAAGAACCATTATACAGTACAGTGTACCTTCATTTAGAACGACAAGTTATAATTAAAGCATGTTTTCTATATAATCGCTTTGACGTTTTTTTTATCGTGTGCTAAAGTAAAGTAAACATCAAAATTTTGATGGATGACAAACGTCAAAAGAAAATATTTAACTTTATGTATAATTTAAATTTGAGAAGTCCAAAGTAACTCGACACCTGTGAGGGTCGTTTTCGAAGAACAGCTTAGATTTATCGAAGGCTAGAGCAGATTTCTTCATACTCTCTTGGGTCAAGGATTAGAGAATAGATACTTTAAAGAGAATCTTTTCTAAGACTTTCGTTCTTCGAAAGAAAGAACCCGGAGTTTGAAAATGAGGATTTATATTTGGCACAGTTTGAATCGTAAAGATAGCTTCTTGTTTGGCGTCGTAATAATCTCGGTGGTATTTTCGAGTACCGCTCAAGAAACCGTAGAAGCAGTGGAAAATTTTTGCCCTTATTTTGAGAATCGCGCGCCTTTACCTCAACCGGATCTTCAAAATTGTACGTGGTACCGCAGCAAGTCCTGTTGTTTGTCCAAGGAGTTGAACATCATCTTCGACAACATCCCACCTCCTATGGGTGCGAATAAAAAATGCCTTGGACTCCTGAATCGTCTGATGTGCTTTGTCTGCGCTCCGAATCAAAACCTCTTCTACCGAGACGAACGTCTGACTGTTTGTCTCGAAATTTGTGATAAAATATACGAGGCGTGTGGAGATGCCACGCTCAAAGGAGCCAAGATTAAGGATACCTATAATACTGGAACAGAGTTCTGTTTGTCAAGAAAGTTTCTTGTTGCTAGTGAGATCAATAAGAAGTGCTTTATGCCTGCGGATTTGGATGTTGAAAGTTCGGCTAGTTTACTTCAAGTTGAAGTTTTACTCATTGGTGTGATGTCTTTGATTACAGCTGCAGTGGTACATAAGTGAAAAGGTAATGTAGCTATATATATATATCTTTTTGGTTTTGATAATCTTAGCTATCTTTTAGGACTTTTCTGTTAGCAGAGTCTCCCTCGTTGGCGATTCTTGTCCCAATAATTCTGAGAACAGGTAACCCTCATCCAAAAGTACCAATAATATTATCCTTAAAAACTTATTTTTGATTTGTCCCAAAAAAATATTGTCTTGTCCCTTCAAAATATTTTCCCTGTTATTCCTTATTGCTAAAGCTTTTTTGCCTGTATCCCTTTAATATTCATAATCCCATATCCCTAGCCTCATGAGAAGTGATTCAATACATGAATTGAGGAGTTGGGACTTACAGTGATTTTTGATATTCTGCAAACTCTAACATTTCAATGGTTTGTTGTGAAATTCATTTTTGCTGCTGCCAGTCAAAAAAATTAATATAAAAGGTACTGCCTGATTATTTTTGATGAAAGGCAGATAGAAACCAAATTTGAGCATGCAGCTTGCAACTACCATGTTTCAAATCGTTATAGAATAGATTTTTTTAGTAAAAATATGCAGGTGATTATAGAAAATCTTGCACGCTGGATTGGTCAAGAAACTCGCACTATCACACGATAATTACCTCGAGTGAAAATCCAAAATGGCAGCCAGCTGCTTTTTTGCGGTTAAATATTTAATTATTAATTCATGTTGTGTCCTCAATTAGCTTTATAGCTAAATATTTTGACATGGTAATAAAGTTTATTATTATTATTATTAATATTATAGCCAAACATCAGGAAACAAAATCTTGATCCCAGTGAAGAATTATGGAGAAATCCCATGTATCGTTTCATTTCCCAGTAACCTTAATCTCAGAAATTGTGCAATTGGATGTTTGCATGATGACATCATTTGACTCCCACTACCATAATGCTTCACAAATTGTCTTTCTTATTTATTTATTTTATTCCCTCATAAGAATAGTAAGACATTATAGTAAGGTGCTAATTAACTGAACAAAAGAAAGTGTGCAAGGGAGTCTGGTAGTAGAGGTCAATGATGCTATCATGCAAATGTGCTATTACCTTTAGTAACTCAACTCCAATCTCTTCTTTCTTTCTTAACACAGTAACCCCAATTTCACTAGTAGCGAGATGGTGCTTACTACAGCTGTGATGGAGAAACTTTTAGGAAAGTACATTTAAAAACTATTTAACTTTTACAAAGGCCAGAAATTGTAATTGCATTTTATTGTTTATATTCCTATGAATACGTCTTGATTATAATTTATTGTTTCCTATGAATGGAATTATCTTGGTTTGAACACAATGATATAATATGTTAAGGAGATTATTTCACTACTTTAGCTCAATGTTTAATGTTATAACCTGTTTGAAAAAAAAATATGGAAAGCCATTTCAGTGCTGGCATACATGAGGCTTGTCAATGCTAAAGTCAATCAAAAAACTATGTGAAGCCATTTTATTGTCATGGCACATAACTTGCCAATGACGTAGTCAATCCAATGAAACTATGGGAAGCCATTTCAGCATTATGGCATATCGTAACTCATACATGCTATAGTCAAGCCAATGAAGCTATAGGAAGCCATTTCGCTGTAGGGCTTATTATCTTGTACATGCTATTAGTGAAGCCAATGAGACCACTGGATGCCATTTCACTGTCAACAGAAGGCCATTTCACTGTCACATGGTAGCTTGTACACTTTGAAGTCCATCCAATGAAAACATTATAGGAATCCCTTTAAATGTCATATATACAATTTCTTTTCTGAAATTTGAGGTTTATATGGAATATAAAATATTAACCAAAAAGCATTAAAATTGAGTGGTCCACACACTAGAGTATAACGAATATTTTCTACATCATAGATGACTAAAATGTGAAAGTTAAAAAAAAAAATCTTAAAAAATCTTTTGGTCTGCAAAAAGATCATAAGTTTAAAAAAATGTTTAAAGTGATAAATAGGGATATTACATGGCAGCGTTGAGATACTGATTTTATCTCCAAGTGTTGAGGATATATCTGATGAGTGAGCACAACAAATGAATAAGATATTTTCGGCCACTCATACTGTATATATTACATAAAGGGATGTGTAAACAACAATTATTCTACTAATATGATCAAAGCATAATGTCATAACCTGGGGATACCTATGTATGCCATTTGTCATCGAGCCTATGAGTCATTGTTATTGCTATTTTAAGGATGTATGTTATGCAAATGAAGATGGCGAGTAAGGGCACCTTGTCGGAGATACCCCGCATCGACCTTATATAATCTCCCAATCTCTTTAGATAAATTAATTACGTACTAAGTTTGTTGAAAGTTGCTTGGCAAATCAAATTAATTAAAGATTGTATATAGTGTCCTATTTAACCTTAATTAATGCTTATGAATGATTGCTTCCTATTCTAGTGAAAGTGCAGGCTTATTTGAGTCAGTATTAAATTATTAGTTCCTCAGAAAATCCCCTGTGTATTGGTGATCTGTGAGGAATATTGGAAGAGTATATGTGTAGCTTACATAATAAATTCATTCATTCGTCATGCAAGAGTAAACAAATTTCCCCACTATTAATTTACATCCTTTCTCTTCCGCTATCTTCCATCTCGGGTCACAAGAGTACGCAGCAGTCTCCAAAATATTAACGTAGGAAGAAAAGATGTTAAATTAAGATTCAATGAACGTTTGTAAAATATAAATAAACAAATAAGCATAACAAACAGACGAAAGATTCGTGACCCTCGCCACTCCACTCTTTACGTTCCCGCTGTTCGGGTCGTAACTAAAACAACTCTGAAGCGACTTCTTCACGGTAACAAATCTTCTTCCTTCACAGAATTCCTTCCCACTGCCATACATTTGCTTGATTTCCAAACCTTTTAGGACGGCTTTTTTGCAGGCATTGTAAATTCGATCGCAGAATTCTTCACATACAATCATCGTAGAACGTTCGAAGAAAGTGTTTTGATCCGGAGCACAGATATAGCAGTACAAATAGTTCAAGTAGCGAGCACATTCTTCACTGGCTCCGGGAATAGGATTCAGCTGACTAAAAGCGAATTCCAATTCAGAGTTAACACAACAGGAATTATCTTTATACCAGGTACAGTTTTTTAAATTTTCTTGTCTTGAAGGCCCTCTGTTTTTGAAATACGGACAGTAATTCTGCTTGGTGTTGAGAGAAAGAGTAACCTCGTCGTTGGCCTTGCCTAGAGCTTCACTTATCACGAGCCATAAGAATATATAAAACCAATTATTAATTTTTTTCTGCATGGTTTTGACAACTAGAGTCGAATAAGTAAATGTGCCGCCAGTACGATAGTATTTGTTTACACTGAAGACATGTGCAAAAGCTTTCAGTTCAATAATGGTCTCCGAAGTGATGAGTGGCTTCGCCCAAAAATACGCCACGAAACTGTCTCTTCACATCCAATAGACTTGCTTATCAAACAATAGACAACAAGTGTGGTCTACATATGGTTTTAACTTGTTCGTAGGGGGAGATCAGAGTCAGCTTTACATCAACAGTCAAGGAAATTGGAGTGTTGATCCTTGAGGGCGCGCGAAATGCAAATTCAGTTGTCTACAAGGTGTGCTTTGAATGTCAACAATAGACGCTTGACGTGCATTATGGATCGACAATGCATTGCCCAAATACCAAATGTGCACTCAAAAATTCCTCAATCTTTGAAACAGTCCTCCTACCTTTTGAGGGGTTTTCTCCAGATTTTCCTATTTCCCTTCAACAAGGCTACTTGTTTTTTTTAGGTCAATTGAAAATAAAAAAACAAAAAATGTTTCTAAAGAAAAACAATTCAATGTACAACATCTTTTCGAAAATTTGTCCACAAATTTCAAAATTTTGCTCCAACCAAAATTACCTTTGACATTTTTCTGGAGAGGCACAGAGGATGTGCATTTTAGGGAAGCACGGGTGGCATAGCACTCGCCTCTCTCCAATGCAACCTGGGTTCAAGTCCCGATGAGCTTGGTGTTGTAGGTGAGTTGAGTTGTTTGTTGTTTCTCTCTTGTGCTTCGAGGGTTTTCCAGGTTCTTCTTCTTTCTTCCCTCTGCAAAAACCAACTACTAAATTCTAATTTGATCCAATATCTCCTCAATATATCCTTTCGCACTCACTGATGCAAATAAATTAGTGCTTATTCGACACACACCCCTGTGTTCATGGCTGATCCTCATACTTTCCATCACATTGCAAGTAGTATTAATTTAATGGTTCTCTTCTGTGCTTTGAGGGTTTTCTCTTGGTTCTTCTAATATGACAGGCCTTACTCACTCAGCAACCATGTTTTTGCTCATTATTTAACCCACATAAAATCATTCTCAAGCACTTGAATATGAAGCTACAAATTAATGGAGGAACTTACTGTTCCAGTCCACATGGCTTCCAATTTCCCTGCCTTTGTAAGATTTAACTTCTAAACTCTGACTTGTTGTGTTTCAATGAGATTTGTGCCCGACTCTGTTGTGTTTTTCTATCATTATGCAACAGCAAAAAGCAAACTTTTATTCATATTAGAGGCAATATATAATAGTATTTACAATGATGTTACATGCTCAAACATGGCTGTATTCCACAAACCAGTTCTTTATATTATGAGGAAAAGTCCAATTCCAAGATGTGAGGATTACTGTCAAAAGTAACATGTGCAGGCATGAGAGCCAGGTAATGGACCTCATACATTTATTAACGTTTATTCTCAGGTACTTGAATGTGAGGCTACGTGTGGAAAAATCTATTGTTCCAGTTAACATAGCTGAGAAAGACCAAGAAATTGTTTGTTTACATTTTCGCCAAAAATTGCCTTGCTCTAGATCTCATGCCTTCCCGCGATACTTTTGAAAATGGCTGCACATCTCAAAATTAAACTATTAGAAGGTTTTGATCTTTAATGTTCCCTGCCATACAGATGATGTGTTTGGTAACTCTGAAGTCAGATGCATGCTTAACTGTGAACAAACTAGAGGTCTTCATCTTCAATTGTCTGGAAAAAATTATATTACTTCATTATTAAACAATATGATGCTATAATGCAAACAGCATTAGTATTAGTGCATGCCTATAACGATTGAAGGGGTTAAAATGAAAACGGTATAAGTGACTTTTTGGGGTGATTTTTAGAACTCGCTCAAGTCGTCCCAAAATTGTACCAAACAATTTATTTGTTTTCGCTTATTGCTTCAAGTCAAGGCATTTGGATCAATACAATCAATACGACCCAAATGCAACAATGGCTTGAAGGCAATAGAGTATAACTCTAACATCTGTTATTATTTGAGGGTTAAGTAATTTAAACAGCTCTTTAAAGCACTCTATTGTACCTCAACATCCACCTCGCTGTCTTCACATGGCACCTTTTCAACGACCTGTGGCATCAGCTTACAGTCTGGTAGACAAAATTGACACAAATTGATTAAACTAATAAACATTATAAAACACTCATAAATTATATAATGCAGCCATAGACAATATCTATCACCTCTGGGGTCTTTAGTTTGATTCATGGACTCATCTAATGTGAGTAGAGTTTATCAGGTCTATCTCTTGATTTGAGTGTCTTTTTCCCCAGGTTTTTCTAGTTTTTCTCCCTCCACAAAATATAAATAGCTAAACATCTTTGTTTTTTTAGAGATAGTGACATGTGACAGTGTAGCCAACTTAGCACTGGTAAACTCATGGCCCTCTATATTTAACGACTCTAAGTGAGACAGGACTGACAATGTTTTACTTGGACATCCGAGCCAAATAGCTAAATTCCAATCGGATCTGTGGGTTAGCCTAGCCCTAATAACATTTAATAATATTTGAAGGTTTTTAGTAATTTTAATAAAATCCTGAGCAATAAAATAAAACCAGATGGTCCATGAATCAGATTACAAGGTTGTCTAAAATGATGACCTAAGATCAAATGATGATCTCGTGATTACATTCTTAGTGTCTTGTAAGACAAGCTAAAATGCCAACTAACACTTTAAATTACTCTCAAAAATGAACTTCCTTTCATTGTTGACCTTAGAAGTCTGGAATCTTAAAACAGTCTGCTTCTTTTGGGATATATTGTTCCAGGTCAAAAAATCTCAAATTTCTAGTCCTAGAATTTT